TTTAGGTTTGTCACTGATCCCTCTAACATAAGATTAATTTTTGTGTGGATTTGAGGCTTTGCATTTGGGATTATGGGGATCCCACCAAACCAGGTAATGATAACTACAGGGCATTTTAGTTCAAAATAAGTAAATTGGCTCTTGATTTTTTATTAACTGGAAATAAAAATTCCACATAAAATCTTGGATTTAACATGCTATTTTGTTAATGTAAAAATACAGATGTTTAATTTATAAGGTTAAAAATTGCCGTTTTATTCCCACCAAATGTTCTCCAGTAAATTTTAGTGTGGCATTGTCTGCATTGGAGAGGTCACTGAATGGTGCTTTTATAAAAATGTTTGAAAAGAAGAACTTGGTCCATGGAAATTGTTCAAATAATCTTGTTAAAATGAAGCCTTGACTGAAGGCAGTAATTTCATGGATTAAACCCAGAAGGGCTGGCTAGGCTGATCTCCTTCCTATCACAGGCCACAGAGCTTTATCCAGAGACTCTCTACGCAAATGCTGGTTAGCTACAAGACATGGGGGATTTTGCATGGACAATACATTGAACAACACCATGAAACTAGAAACTGTGGAACTTTTTGAGGAGTTGTTGCATCTCACTGTGTTCAGCTTTTCCCTAAAAAAGTACCAATAAAAAGTACCAATAAAATTACCAATAAAAAAAAACCCTGTTTTTTTTTTTTCCAGTGCATCCTTCTCTCTGACATGCCACATGCAGTCAGGATCTGATCAACATGATGGGCCATCCAAGTATGGGAAGGAACTAATTGATTTGTACTTCTGCAAATCTGCAAAGCAGAAACTATGAGAAAAAATCCAGCCCTGTGGAACCGAAGAGAAACAGGGATGGGAAAGTATAGTGTGCATATGTATCTTATATATTGGTAGATATTTTTCCTGTCACAAAAAAAGCCACTCGTGTCTTCTGAGTCAGCCTGTATTTTTTATTGTGATTCATGAGAACATTTTGTAGACAAGAACAAGGTACTGCTTATACCTTTCCAGGGATGTCAGATTTGATCGTGGATGGGCACAGTACCATGATGCTGCTGTTGGTCAGTGAGATATGAGAGAGACTTTAGGGAAAAAGAAAATAGGCTGAATATAATTTGCTGCAATAGCAATTGCTCTAGTGCAGTGAGTAGGTGATAGATAGAGGAGGAGGAGGAGAAACTACTGGAAGAGGATTTTGCTGTCCCTTTACCATAAAGGATAATGTAAAATGATTGATCAGTGCTGTGGTCTGAGGATTGCTCCAGCAGTGAAGCTGCAGGTTGCGGCCCTGAATGTGGCTGGAGGATTTTCTGCTGAAAGCACTGGAGCAGACCATGATTAGACTTCTTCCTGAGGCTGCTTTGGATGCATGAGCTTCACTAGAGAAGCAGCACGAGCAGCAGAATAAGTGAAGAAGTCAGTGGGAACAGCAGTTTAGTGTGAGGGCCATAAGAGATGAGCTTGTATTGAAGGGCTTTAGTCACGTTCTCCCTCACTATGCAGTTGATGATCAGGCTGCGATATATTTGCTCTCTCAATGTAACTGCTTCATTTCTTGAGGGCTTTTTCCTTAATATAATTTTTTATTTTTACCCCCGTTATTTAGCAAGTTGTATTTATAATTCAGCCATGCTACAAACTGTAATACCTCATGGTGTGATGTTTCACATGTGATAAATCCATGTGACTTTTGAACACAAGTTGTCCCGAGTTAAACAGTCTGTTGAATCATTGTCACTGTATTTGGAGAATAAGAAAAATATCATGCAGTTAAATTGCTAACCTTAAGAGGTATGTATGGACATAGTGAGTAGTGATGTCTTCCTCTGGTTATCCAGGTAAACATGAATTTACTTTCTGGCAAGTGCCAGAACATTAGGATGTTAATTCACTCTTGAATCTCAGGAATGTTTTGTGAATTCAGGCTGGCAAGGAGAGGCCTGGTCTCTGGGTTTAATATGGAATATAAACACCCACCACTCTCTTCTAAAAGTGAAAGCACATCCAGGCTTCTGGCATGCCGGTGACTTCTGTGGTCATGTTTGCAATTCTCTCTCTGTGCTCCATCAAAAGCTCATTAATGCTCCTAAATGCTCAAATGGCACATTCACCATTGTAACTCCCAGAGTGGATTGGGTAGTCCATTTTTTCAGTCTTTAGTTTTGGAGGCCTCAGTTTTAACAACCTGGGTATAAATCCCTGCAAAGGTTCTGGTAAATATCCACCTGGCTTACCTGTCTGCGATGTGGCCATCTGGGGTGGGCAGCTGCCAAATAATAACTACCATCTGGCCTTAAGGTGGAATGGCATGCAGGTGTCTGGTCTTTGATGTCGGATCTACTGGAGGAATTAAGGGGGGTCTATCTATTAACTTGATCTACTTAACTTTGCAGCATCTATGTTTGGGTTAAGTGATAGTAGATGGGTGAGTAGTGCATTTAAACTCTTACCAGCTCTGAGTAGTGATGCTGACAGGGTGTAAGCAGGAGCCACAAGAGAGAAGACAGTGCAGGGTTCTCTCTCACGTACAGTAAATCAGAGTTGGGATGGCTCAGTTGCCACACCACAAGGAGCTGTGGGACTCCTGGCAAGAAATCCATCCCAGCCTGTCTTGGTGGAAGAAAGCACAAAAGAAGTAGATATGAAAGGCTTTGAGCTAGGGATGCCCTGTCTGCAGTAGGCTAATCTGGGCTATCTGGCTTGGTGCAGAGACTACGTTAACCAGTGTAGTCCACTTTGACCTATGAACTTTTGCATAAGCTGTATGGAGACCTTAGGTTACATGCATGCCCTCTCACGTGCTGCACATTAAAGGAGAAATGTGCTTAGGACTAAGAAGTGGACTGAAGAAAAAAAGACACTTTGTGTTGAAAGACATGGATAAGGCTAAACCTTTGTTTGAGAAAACTTTGTATAACTGATTTGAATAGGAAAAAATGTCATTAAATCCTTGAACGATATGAAGTTGTTCATAAATTCTGATGCTACTTTTTGCACCTCATAAGTCAGTAATACTATAATTTAAGGGAATAATGTTTTGGATATGTTTGAAGTAGACATTTTTCAAGTTTCACTGTTTTCAATCCCAACTTTTGAAGGATGCACAGTAATAATTTTTAAAATATTGAATGATAAAAATCACACTGAAGAATTCTTACTGAAATTACTTATTACCCTGGAATTAAAGTGGAAATAACAAATATATCTTTCATCACTCATTTAGAATATTTATTCTTTGTATTTCACTTACTCTAAACAAATTTTTTATCTCTAGAGCTAGATCCTGACTAATCCTTCGCTGTGCTGATTTTACTGGGACAAAACATACATGGTCGGTGATTCCAAATATGAGTAAGGACAGCAGGCTCGGGCTTGTACTAATTTTAATGAATAAATTTGCCTTGAGAATGACAAGTTGTGTTAGCACTTTTCACTTTATAACATCAGACAGTCAAAGATGTTAACTCTGTGCAGGGGAATCATCATTAGACAGGTGTTTGGAACTGTGTATAGGGAGCTCTCTGGTGCCTAGTCTCAGCAGAAACTCTTAAAAAACCTTTCTCTATTTTTATTTTAGTAAAAGAATGGTGTGATTGAAAAGAAAAGTGTTGAAAGGAATTTCACTGCAATAGCAAAATGTTCTTCCTTTCATTTCACCCACTGAGTTCTTAAATAAGGATATTCCTTTGCCAGTTCCTTTGAATTTTCTTCGTTCCTAGTTGGCATAATGACAGCAGGAATAGTCCTCTGTGTATGGTGAGGGGAAAGAAAGTAGTACCCCACTGGTAAGAGATCTTTTGCAGTTGTCTTTTGTGGGTTCACAGGTGTTACAAAAGATGCAGTCTTGATTGATTTCTTGTCTTTATTTTCTTTATACATTTATTTTGCTGTTGGGGTGTGGAGGGGTGGGGAGGCAACTATATGTCAGGAAACAGCTGCAAGGGAAGAGAAATACTAGAAATTTAGTTGTAACATTTTCCCTGGTAGTATTAGTTGAGTGTTTCTCTGTCTTGGTCTGGTTTTGGATGAAAGGCTTTCAGTTCTTCCAGTAGATTGCTGGGTTCCAAGAAGAAAGGAAGAAGTAGATTGTGTGGTTCCAAGAAAAGGCTCTTATCACCATAAGAGCCATACTGAGATAGCTGTTACTCTCACTGTTTTATTCTATGATCCTTATCCAATTTATTCCTTCTGGTTTAATTCACTGAATTAAAGAGCCCTGAAAGGGAATAATAAATGGAGTACCTTATTTGCTTGCCACTTTGCCAATTTTGCTATGCACATTTTTGTATTGCAGATTTCTTACCTAGTAAGTGTAGCCATTGTCTGAATCTTACCTTCATCCTTTGGTTTTGTAAGGTAAGCAGATTGGTCTTTTGTAAGCTAGGACTCATACATCAAGTCATCACATCTAATGAGCCCTGTTTGTTTTATTTTGGTTTTAGCTCCTTGGCTTTTGAACAGTCCTGCTAACAGAACTGGAATGGAAAACTTGAAACCTTTTACTGCTGTTTAAAATTTTTCTGATTTGTAGATGCATGGGTCCAGATGCTAGGTTTGAATCTGCAGGTTAATTAGCAAGAAAGACCTTGCTTGACCCATGAAATTTCCAGCATGAATTTTTGACAACAAATACAGAGCTTTTTTCTTTCCTTTTCTTTTTTTTTTTTTTTTTTTTTGGTCTTAATTTTCCAGGAAACACTACATGCTTTGACAGAATTTAGAGGACTGGGAGGTTTTGTCTGAAAACTAAAACGTCTTGATTTGAAAAATGTTACTGTAGTCCTCCTCTGATATTACAACCTGAATGCCTGCTGGCCCTGTTCTGCAAGGCTGAGGCTGCCTACCACCTTTGACACTGTGCCATGATCTTTCCTCTTTGAAGGGAGTGCTGGAAAGTAGGGATTCCCTCAAAGTAATCTATCATCAGAATTCTCATTTAAATGATAAGCCTTGTTGATAGAGATCTGCCACATAAATCAGGTAAGCTGGAGATACCAGGAAATGCTACAGTAGCATTTCTTAGTAATATTTTATGTTTTTAATAAAATATTTCAGTTGGTAAGTTTGGCTTTTTGGTAAGAAATTATATTTACAGAATCACATATTTAGACATGCCAAAACTCCCCAAACAATCCAACCAAAAAGTGTTTAGCTCAAAGCCTCGTTTCCCATCAAAAATAGATGCAGTGGAAGATTTTCAGGCAGCCCTATATTTAACCTCCTTGGATCAAAATTTGGTTGTTGGACTGAGAGAGGCTTCTAGAGTGTTTTTGCTGCTTTTGTTAGGGTGTCTGTTTTTTCACTCATGACATCTGCTTGCTTTTTAAGCTATATTCAACCTTGTTATAATTCTTCATATTGCAGCATTTTACTGTGCTCAGAATGCTAATTCCCACAGGACTCAACTTGCTGGGGTATATGAAAACTCAGTTTCTTTCAAGAGGTGCATCAATCTTGCCTTTTTTTTTTGCCTGGGTTTTAATAAGCAAATATGAGTACCATATCCACTGAACACTGACTGTGCAGAAAACAGCATCACTGCAATACAGTTCCTAGTTTCTTTGCCCAGGGTATCCTTGCTTTGGCATGTTGTGGATGTAAAAGTATATGTAAGTTTAAGGGATAATTGGCTAAGTGTTTGAAAGAGAAGACCCATTGGGCAAGATAAATAGATAAGTCACATCAGTCTCAGGAATTCCTGATGGGAATACAGTTGAAGGGCTAGGGAGTTATTCTAGGAAAATACTGCATTTGATTTTTTTGCTCATGCTCTCTTCTCTTGATTCTGACTTGTGGCTGCTTTTGGAAGCAGGATACTGAGCTAAATGGACTTTTGATCTGAATTGTCATAGCCATCCTTAGGTAAGGAGAAGAACATCAATGAATGAGTAAGTGTGGGCTTTGGCAATCTGGAATTCAGCAAAAATTATCAGAATTGAAATTCTTTTCTCCAACAAAACTGTAAGCCAGTCACAAAAGATGTGGTCATAGGGATAGAGAATTTTGGCTGAATAGATTGTGATTCTGGAGTCTCGAGCTTTTTGCTGATTTTTTATTTTTCTTTTGCAGCTTCCATTTCTCTTTTGTTGCTTCTTCAGCAAATTCAGTAAGAATTTGCTACAACTATGTATCAAATACAACTGTGAACCTTTTGGTTGGTGGGTAGAACATAAGTTGATACTCCTACAGAGTTCACTGTGCCTTGTATTATGACAAAAAGACAAAACAAAGCAAATAAAAAAAATCAGGGAGGAAAATTCTTAATATGACCTACATTAGTTTCAGTAGGTGTTATGTTTTGTCATTAGCTCAGTGTTAGAATGCAGTTTTTAGCCAGAATCTATCACGAACTGGCAACATGTGGTGTTTCTTAAGCAAAAGTTGATTGTTATTCTTTATTGCTTGTTTTACATGTTAACACTTACAGAAACATATTTCCAAATATTTTTAACTTTGTTTTCATGGCAGTTTAATGTAGTTCACTTCATGACTGCTGAACAATACTATGCTTTTTCAGTCTTCACAGACATTAATGATGAAATCTGTAAATGAGCATATGCCTAGTTTTGTAAGACAGCAGCTATATTTTTCTATATTTTAGTAAACTCTTCAGACTTTTTATGATTTCCTGAAAGTGTATATATTTAGTTATACTCCTGTGTGCTTAAGTTTACTTGAGAGTTATATTGACCAAACTATATGGTGTCTCTTTTATTTCTTTTCCTGACATGATAGGCACCTTTTATTCAGCTTTCTGTCAGCAGAATTTTATTATAGTACATTGCCAGTACTAGAAATTTCCTTTTATAATAAAAGCTTCCTTTCATTATCTCAGAATTATTTAAAATAAATATTTGCATGAAAATGTAATAGCCTGACAAATGTTTGAAAGGAAGAAATAGTTTTTGTTGAGAAAGAGATTCATCATACTGGAACCCAAACTGTGGCAGGAAAGACAATGAAGAAAGGAAAGCACAATATTGAAGCATAAGAGTGAGCTCCTATGTATGACATCTAAATGCTTTTGGAAGTGAAATGCTACACATTCAGTTAGTGTTATTTCAAGTAATCATTGTCCAAGGAAGAAATTTTAGTACATTAAAATTCATGAGTTGGAAAAATTAGCAAAAAAAAAAAATATCGTATTTTCCTAAAAATGTGGTAAAAATATATAAATTCTTTTAAAATTAATTCAGAAATTTTGTGAAGTGAAAGGAGATATTGTAATCCTGTCTCTAAAGTGTGTCAAGAATAGCAGAATAGTGCAACCTCTCTCACATAATTTGTATTCCTTAGTCAGAATTTTTATGATAATCTGAAGAAGCGAGAAGCAAATAGAGTTGCCAAATCTGTCCACTCTTGAAACTGAAAGAATTGAGGGGAGTAATTGGGTGCAAAATAAACATGTGTTCACAAGTAATTGTACTGCCACTATTAAATTTCTTTCATTATGGTAGTAGGTAGTAATTACTTTAACTTCAAGGGAAAGAGAAGATTACATCCTGCAAAACTTTTTCATGCAAAATAGTCTATCCTTCTGTCAGTGATCCTGCTTAAAGTGTCTGCTTACTTGAGAAAAGGTTTGTCAAATCAAGTCTTTAAATGGGAAAGGGGATTAGGAAACAACAAACAAAATCCAACTTGCAGTGGGAGTTAACTTTTGGGGGTGTAGGGCAGCAAATGGACAATGAATCATCTTTTCAGTATTCGGTACTATCAAAACTCTTTTTCTTAGAAGTATTTATATTTTTATTGGCAGAAAATTCGAGATTCAGGAAAGGAAAATGCTATGGTAAAAAACACATAAAGAATCTTGTGCCAAAACCCAGAGTTAAGGCATATATCTTCTACAGTTTTAGGAAATGATGAGCATAAACTGGAAAAGTGTTTCTGTGCTTGAAAATTCTAATTGTCGCTGTGTATGTCAGTCTCTTTTCTGTTTTGTACAGCTCTTGTGCTGGCATTTTTGAAACAAACCTTACTTTTACAAGAGTCACTAGTTTGATCTGGGATATAAGAAATAGTTGTTAGTTTTATGGGCAGTAAATCTGGATATAATAATTTTCACTTTTGAATAAGCTGCTTCATTCTGTATGTAAAACAAAACAGCTTCAATATGCTTGGGTTTGTAATTAACAAATGTCGAGTTGATCAAAAATATCTTTTCTAATACAATGCATGGAGATGAGTCTAGGCTGTGTTACAGAATAATGTGATTATAATGATTTCCTTAAGAGAGCACAAAAGCAGCATCTAAGTTTCAGCTGACGTTTATTGACACACAGCATCCGTTGGGAGCCCCATCAAACTTCCTATTCTTTTCTGTTTACCACCTCCTGCTTTTATTTACAGTCAGCATATCTGTTAATTAGCCTCTGGTAGAGCCAGTTCTTCTAAGAAGATCTCTTGTCTTCCTGGTGATGGCCCCATGAGGTGACCATGTACACACAGTCTGTGAATGAATTAATCTTTAACTCATTAATTTCAGTGCCTGATTCTGGAACGTTTAACAGCTAACTTGGTTTCCTGCTACAGCAATTTATATTTGGAGAATTGTGGTCTTTGACTTCCACTGACTTCAATGTCATAAACACATCCGAGTGAGCTTTCAGCACCTTACTGAAAGTCGAATATTCTTGTAACTTTTTGGTTTTCTGTGATTGGACCAGAATGCAGATAAGACATTGGTGACTTTCTCTGTGTCACTACAGTTATTTACCTAGTTTTCTTTGCACTTTTGCAGAATAAAATTGCTCCTCCTCTTCCTCAGCTACCTCTGTTGCACAATAACTGAATGAAACATTTTGGAAAAAAAAATCTGATGTAACGTTGCGATACCAGAATCTCCCAAGAGGGTACTCAGTAGGGTACCATACTGTTTTACAGAATCTCAGTTAGACCTTGCTTGTTTATAGCCACAGTCTGAATGCTAGAAGTGGTGGTTGTAGTGCGCTTCTCTCACAGCATGTCTTGTGAAAAGGAAAGAGTTGCAGCGATATTTGCAGGAAGAATTCGGGACCAGGATTCAGAGATGCCTCGCCCTGGCCTACTGTGTGTGCTAGAAGTGATTTGAGAGGTGTGAGCTGATCTGTGCGTCTCACTGGGGTGTTACAAATCTTGTAGTTTCAGTGTTAATGGTTGTGTTTGTTTCACCTGAAACTTGAGAAAGGAATGACTGGGCCACTTATCTGCACAGTCAACTGTAGGTAATGTGTTGAAGTGATGACCCAGCTCCTCACTTTTGCCAGAGTGGTGTTTCTTCCTTCTCTGTCCTCCAGTTGAGGAGTAGTCAAACACTAAAGATTTGACCATAGGTTACAGGCACCCTTGAAATCCTGCCCAGAGCAAGTGCAAGTATTGAAAGCCATAAAGTACACTGTGCTGGGGTGAACATTTTCATAATTTAATGAGTGCTTTACTGATAAAAATTCACTGTTTCAGATAAAAAAAACCCCAAACACCAATACCACCACCACCACCACTATTACTACTACTAACAACAATAATAATAACAATAATAACAATAATAATAATAATAATAATAAACAAAAAAAGCCCAAACCACCCAAACAACAGCATAATCCCTGGAATACATCCAATTTTTATGCTGGAGAAGTACCTTAGTGTGGAAGTATTTGTGCTCATCTAAAAGATTTTATGCTTGCAGAACTGCATCCCATTGTCTACTTTTTTGTGAATAGGCAGATCCAGGTAAAGTAACTTAGTTTTAAAGGAACTATAAACCCCAATTCCTTCAAATCAAATTCCTAAGACATCCAAGTGTCCAGGATGCTGTGAAAAGAGACACAAAAATAAGGAATAGAAGGTGAATGTTTGCTACTGATGGCTCTTGTCTTTGGAGGATCAGCGCTGATGCAGTGTTGTGACAAAAAATCAATGAATGAAAATTTCTGCCACCTTTAATTGTAAGAAGCTAATGCTGAACTGATCTGTTAATGTTTCATGGGGAAAGTTGACAGTGAGGGAAATGGTGGGTGATATTTCTTCAAAACATGTTAACTGCTTTTACTTATTTTGTCGTTTAAGGATAGAAAGATCAGAGATGCTAGAAATGGTTCCTAGAACTGGGTGGCCCTTCATCAGTGTTTTATAGGTACTATTTAAGCCATCTTTGCTAAGGAGAAGCTCCTTTACTATTAATATGCTGTCATCTTTCAAATCTCATCAAGGCAGCACCAGAATTTTTTTGCACAGATTTCCTTTGACATACAGCCTCAATAAATATGGAAATTACAGCTTAAATCTCATTTTTTTTCTTGCAAAGCAGCACAGTGCCCAAATTCATTGAATTTCAACTTTTTTTTTTTCTTAATGTTGAAAGACATATATGCAAATTTTATTAACAATATGCGTGGTTAAATTTAGCTGTAAACTCCAGTCAGGGATTTTTGCTTTGTTTATTGTCCAAGTCAATATGTCTGTGGAGAAAACCTCCTGCTGTGCAGGAATACACAGTCAGCTACTTGGAAAAGTGGAAAGTTTAATTATGAGAGTTTATTCTGAAAAAAGGTAAAACAAGCATTGTTTTTTGGATTGAGTTTTTTTAATTATGACTTCAGGTAGCAGAAGTACAACATACACAGTTTATTTTGACTCAAACTGTTCTCAGACAAACCATTTGATTTTTCTTTAACCTGGTCATCTGTGTAACGGAGGAGTTCTGAAAGAGAGGTCATGAATAAATGATGCATTTCTTAAACTTGCAAGGTAGATAATGACATAAATGAAGTAAAATCCAAGTGTGAAGGAAAAAAAAAAAACAAGAACACATGTATTGCTGACAATATCTTCATTAAAATATACTTTATCCTAGGAAGGTATTAGTGTCAGGTTGCCTGAAAGATGCAAATATCCTTTGTCGCTCTCTCAAGTTTTTTTGATTTTTGTCAGTGGTAACAGTGAGGTACCTTTATATGAGGTTTTTAGTGGAAGGGTAAATTATTACTGGAGAATGTGTGTTATAAATGATATCCAAACATATTCTCATGTTTATAATAGAAAGCTCTCCAAGACTGTAGTCACTGGAGTGGTTCCCATGTGTTCAGTTTTTGCAAGTCACTTACATGGAATACATTTTATCTAGCTATCTATAAAACCCCCACTGCTTGCAAAGAAGGTGTTTCTTCTGCCTATCTAGAGTATATGTAATACTGTAATAATCTGTATTTCTCCCTGTGGTTCACTGCATATTTCTCCTTTTTAAGCCTGTTCAAATGTAATATGAAGAGTGTTTTCATGATAATTTTACTATGGATGATAGTAACTAGCTTTATTCTGAACCAATAAAATTTTTAAAAAACTTTGTTTATGGCTAATATTTGGGTTGCATGACTTTCATCAGGTGTGAAATCAAATTCTTTTTTTCTTTATGTCTGTGTAGGGCTGATCCATAACCTGAGCTAGTAGGTTCTCCAGCAATACAAGTGGTATATGATAATTGCGTGTGAAGAAAGGCTGGCAGCTTTACAGAGGAAATCTCTGAACCTGTAGGTAAGTTCAGAATAAACAATTGCCTGCAACTTCCCTTCCCCCATGCTCTGCATTTCCACTCTGCAACTGCTCCTCTAAAGCTTTTACCGAGTCTCATTAAACAGTCCTATGTGCGGGACATTAAATGTATTTATGGTAGAGTGAGAGTTTTGTTCTGAGTCACTGGTGCATCAAGAGTTTCTTCGTAATGTTCTTCTGGTTGCCTAATACAGTGAGACAGGCACATGAGAGGCACGTCCACTGATGGCTCATGGTAGCAGTCCTTGAACCTGAATTGTAAGAGATGGGAAGGTGGCTAGTTTCCTGTAGAACTGAGTGGGATTTTATGTTCCTAAGTAGGATTTAGGAGCCTAAATACCTTGAAATTCTGCGTGTATAAAGCTTAGTTGCAATGTAGCCTCATAAATCCCCACACATCTCTGCATTCTTCCATACATGTTTCTTGTTGGCTATTTACTGTTAATAGGCAATTTGGATGCTTAAGTATGCTTCTGTTTTGGGAGATGTTTCTTCCTAGTCTTATCCTGTATTTATTTGTCTGTTTCTTTTAGTATCTCTCCACTCTTAGACTTTCTGAACCAGAAATAAAGGCACCAGCAAACCTAATTTCCAACAGCTAGCTTCCCTCTTACAATGGAATATATGAAACATAAGGCTGTTGGTATTAACAGAGCTAGGTACCTTGTAAAGATGCTACAAAAGGAATCATTAGGGCTCAAAATCGACTATTTTGTCCATTCAATCTGTTTTTTGACCAATATAACCCAAATATGCAAGTTGCATATTAGCCAAATTCTACTTCTTTTGACTGACAAAAAGTGTAGGGTGAGGGGTGCCACAGGCAGTTAAATAATGCAAAACCTTATGTCAGTCTAATCCTTTTGTCACAGAAATTACTCTACAGTTCGTTTTTCTGAAGCTGGCAATAGTAAATCAGGGCATAAATCAATGTAATGCTTTCTTCCCATGCTAGACTTTTAACTTAGTTTCAGGAGTAGGATACAGTTTGAGTAGTGATTTAAGTGCTTAGATATCATAGATTGCTTTTTGCTTGTGAAACATGTTTTCTTTCTATATATTTAACAAAGGAACATTAATTAATTAATTAAAGAAATGAATGTGATTGACTGTTCCTCATGGCTCAGAGATTCATGCTGCTTGGCTGATCAGTGGCCATGAGTGTTGCATGTGTAAGTATTTAGAGACACTTTGGTTTTTATTCATGCTGATTTTTATCACCAAAAGTCTTAGTTTGTACTGAGGAACACTCCAGGTGGACCATGGCCCTTGCACTCCACCTCAGTGCGGGGTGCTTTCAGAGGGCCTTTTGTTGCCCCATCAGTGCAAGGTCTAAACACATTCCATAAACAATCTCATGGGATTAGGGAGCAACTGAACTGGAGAGGATGAGAATATGGTAAATTAGGTTAGGAACAGGTGCAACGTTGGTGATCCTTGAGGGACACTCTGGAGCACTGCCTGTGACATCATGGCTTCTTCCAGTCTGCAGCTGTGGGGTTGTTGCCTAATGCCATGTGCTAGATCTATGTATTTAATTATTTACAAGCTATCTACCTGCTCTCAACCGGTATTTTTAACTTTCTACCTAACAATCCTGATTAAAATGAAAGATGTTTGTTGGTCATCTTGTTTCCTGATTGGATGCCTCTGGGAACTCAATCTGTAGATAATCTCTTCTTAGAATCATCTAAATCATTCTGAGAGCCAAGTAAAACCAACTGAAATATCTAGACATTATTAGATTTAAAAATATTTTCAGTATAATTTAAAAATCACAGCAGTTTTTTGCATAGAACTGTTAGTGCCTCGCATTCACTGCATTTTTTGTGGCATGTTGACTGATTTATTTTCTGCTACTCTCTATGTGTTAATACAGTACCATATAAGTACTGTATTAATCAGTGCTCGTGAGAGATTATGCTGGTGGAAAACATGATCATGGGATTTGACCTCCTTGGAAGCAAGGACTTTTCCAGGTCACAAAAGGCCAAGTATTCAGCTCATGACTAGTGTAGAACTCTTTTTCTGTCATAACAGAAATACTGACACCTGGTTTGCACTTGAAAGTGTTATCAAGGAAGCCTGTCAGGGAGGGAGATGAATTTTTTGCTGACATAGCTATGCCAGCAAAAACCCTAGTGCAGAAGCTGCATAAGAAGTTCTTTTACCTGTACATTTTACTTCTCTTGAGGGATAGGTGTAAGTTGCTTGGGAAGAGGAGTCTTGTTAGTGTAATTTCTATATTAACCTTTCTAGTGTAAATCAGCTTTAAGTCTCATCCTGTAGGGACTCATATGCAACTCATATCACTGCACACAGAGATGATATATCATAGCTTATGCTTATGTCACTCCAAAGAATGACCTCTAGAGCAACTCTAAGAATAGTATGTGTCCCTGTCTCCTGTTCATCTTCTGTCTACAGAATTGTCTTACAGCTTCGACTTGCATAAATAATGCCTGAAAATGCATGAACTTTCACGTTTAGCACCTGTCCTGTTGGTGGTTCTAGTCCTGAAGACAGTTTTGGGGCCACATTTAGGAAACAGTACAGACAGGACCATTGTTTAACTAACTGAACTACTTGCAGGAAGAAGGGAGGCTGGATGTAGATGTAACAATGAAAAGGAGGGAAGAAAAATTCCTAGCAGTGAAGCTAGGATGTGATGTGCCACACACAAACTAAAGGCTGAAGAGTACCAAAGTGGGAGCTTCCTTAGGTGAATCAGTTCCAGGAAAAATAAGCATATGGAAACACTTGGTGGATCAGGATTGTCCTTTGCTGGTGCTACAGGCAGTGCAATAAAGCACAAGTAGTTCTAAAGAAATTGGTAGTGGAACAGGAGAGTCAAAATGGTGGGAGTGAACTCAGGTTATGACTTGAAACCTTGCCTTGTCTCTTACAATGCAGTTCCTGGATGCCTCTAATTACCTTTCATTTAGAAATTCTACCCTATTTGGAATCGATGACTTAAAGAGTGGGCTCTTAGTGTTTGTCTGCAGGAAGGACTCCCTTTTCTTTTACAGGAGAGAGAGACATCCTGCTAAAAATTACATCTAGCCTCGAGCATATGCGTATTTTTATTGGTTCAAGTTGTTTCATAACATATGAACTGAAGGCTGGACTAGATACCTGAATACATTATTTGCACTAGCAGAAATAATTTCACATCACACTCTGCAGGAATTCAGACTTGTTCTATTTTTGGGCTTGAAACAGGAACAGCTTGAACAAGCTAGGTGATGTTTTATTTGAGACAAAGGTTTCCTTTTTTCCTCAAAGGTTTTTTCAAGACATGTGGAAAGCCCATTTCAAATAATACTGCCAGAGCCAAAGCTGTGTATGTAAGCTCTGTGGCCGTGCACTGAGGTTGATTAATCAGCCGAGGTTAATTGAAATTGGTATTTTCACTTCAAGTCCTAGAGACTTACTTTGGAAACACGTGAATTTGTAGGCTTGCAGTCTCCCTGACAGATGAATCTAGTCTTGAAGATTGCAAATTCGATCCCTGCTGTTACCAGTCCAGCCACAGGGGCCATTTAACAAAAGATCCCTGAGTTAATGATTGCTGTTCTATGACAGGGATATTGGACTTATTATACACTGAACACAAAGGTCTCTGATCCATATTCGTGCCTTGTTTCCTGCTTGGGATTCAGCACCACATGGTGGTAACTGTCTGCTTCATGCAGGAAAGCGTTCTGCTGTGATATCAGTGAGCGATAGTATCAGAAGAACATCCATTTTCCATGAATTTAAACTATTACCGCAGTTAGGTGCAATTATTGAGAATCCCTGTAGAGTCGCACAAAAAATGTTGTCTCTGTCCAAAGATGTTGATTCTGGAATGTAGCAGTGCCAGTCTGACATGCGTAGTTTGGGGTCTCAGTGGCTGCTATAAATTGTACCCTGGAAAATGATTACTAGGACTAGAGAGTATAGTGCTGCATTTCAAGCTCTATTTTGAATATCACTGGCTTTGTCAAACTATACATGTAATTTAAATGAAATTTATATGGTGAAAATACGTTGAAGAGGAACCAATGGAATAAGATGACTTCATAACACAGAATATTGACTTTGCATATTAACTTCATTAACTTAATGCTGTCTCTTGTGTATTGGAAAATTGTTCAAGTGAGAATAATAGCTTTTGAACTACTTACAGGCTAATAGGTAGTGATTGTAGTCACTAAGACTGAATAGCTGTGGCTGTTTATTACGCAGATTAAATGTGAGTGCAGCTTTCAATATGGCTGATTTTCAAAAAACTCATTTTCTGTCCTTCATTTTGACTTTCATGGCTAATGACACTGACTTCTAATGCATATTAAATTCTGGGAGTGGGAAATTAAATTCCTCTTCTTCCATCTCATAGTAAAGACATGATTGCAGAAGCATGCCATATGCTTATTTTAAATTGTTCAAGACTGAAGCTGTCAAATAAAAGGTTGCATTAGTGGCAATTCCCATACAGTGGGACATGCTCTGTTTAACCAGCTGATTGGTTATAGATATTTGCAGCATTCACAACACTAATTTTTCATGCACTCCATCCTTATGTCTTTTCTCTTCATATCTGAACTGTGTGTATGTCTATTTGCATCCGCTGTGATTTCTCAGTGAATGCTGGTTCCCAAGTTCTTTCTCTATTCTCTCCCTTTTTTTTTTTTTTTTTTTTTTTCTCCAGGGCCTAATTATGAAACAGCTTCAAATAAATACAATTTTTTAACAAAAAACATTCTGCTTCCTGTGAACAATGGGCTGAATTTTTCTCTTTATTCTTGGGGAGTTCTTATTCAGTTGGAGTGCTTTGCAGTTGGCTAGGCCTGAGATTTCTGGGAGCTGTAATTGTGTCTCATTAATTCTTACAGTAATGTAGGGTAACTATAAGGAGCATGCAATTAGTGGTCTGGTCAATGAATAGAGCAGTTAATCAGCAGACAAAGGATGGGGCTCAGGACCTATTAGGCTGAAAG